CAGGAGGGGAAGACCCTCTATGAGATGGATTGATTCGGTGACTGGGGTAATCGGGATGGGTGTGTCAGAGGCGGTGCGGTTGGTGCAGGATAGAGCAGGGTTTAGGGCTGTTGTGCATAGGATTGCTATGAGTCGAAAACGACTCGACGGCACATAACAACAACAACAACAACAACAACTAGATGACTCTTATAGATTCAGATAGTTCTTATGTGTATATATAAACTGTGCTTGTCCAATAATAAGAGACTAAGACATTTTGTTCAAATGTGGATTCTGATTTGGTATATTTGGGGTGGAAATGCAAATACTCAGCAAAGGGTCAAATTGAACGAACCAGTTAAGTCTGAACCCTGATTATGATTACACTTAATATCTTAAAAATATACTTAAAAATGCACTTACACTGCAGTTTTCAAAAGTCCATAAAAGGGCTGCATATGCCTGACCACTAGTATGTGATCCCTCCCCTGAAATATTTTACTGGAATTGCCAAGGAAATGAGGAGCACTTTAAATAATACCATTCTGATTCAGCTTTCAAAACTAATGAATTCTTTATCTCTTCTTGTTGCCCAAGTCACTATAATTTGCATAGGAAAAACAAAACATGCACAAACCAACATAAATTCAAAATAAGAACACTACATACAGAAATTGATTTTTCTGTACAGCCAAGCACAATCAATAAGAGTGCATCTGAATTCCAAAATCAAAAAAAAAAAAAAAAGAAATTGATTTTTCTTAAGAGTGGCAATGATGCACCAGCAATCTTGAGAGTACACAGCTAAAATAAATTATTCATCATTACTGAATAAAGTTAGAAGAGATGAGAGAAGGGTATGACATTGGAAAAAAGAATTTCACTCTGTCATCATTTGGAAAAGAAACCTGGCAAAGTCAGTCTTTTATGCAATGAGGGGAGGGGAAAAAAAGAATTTTGCACAAGCAGTGCCAGAGCAGGCTTTCTGATGAGAGTCTCACTCACCTCATTCACCCTTGGCTTGTTGATGATGTTTTTGGCATTGGATGCATATCGCAGTGTGCTCATGGTTTCACTGTAGCTGGTGTGTGCAGGAGACACAGCTGAGGAAGGATAAACATATTAAAGATTAGCAGCAAGCTCTTCCACTCCAGCCCTTAAACACTCACCTAATTACAGCGCATGCTGTTTGAGAGCCCCCTTTTCCAGCTTCAGCGTCCCACTCACTGGCAATCATGATGGTTTTGGAGTTGCCTCCTAGGCTATCCTTCAGCAACCAGGTCAGCACGGAGTCCCGGTATGGGATGTAAGACTGTCTCCGAGAGGGTTCCCCTCCACTACTGGTCCCAGAAGGAGAGCTAGGGATCCCACTATCACCACCATCGCTAGCTGTACTATTGAGGCTCTGACAGCTGCTGAATATTTGAGAGTTCTGGGCTTAAAACACAAAAATAGAAGAAACAATTATGAAGCAAGTACATTTCAAGGCCATTCAAACAATAGGGTGGTTGGAAAGTGGAAACGGAAGTATCACATTTCCAATCTCTTTCTGTATATGAAATGATGCTTTCAGTGTGAGCCCTGAGTAAGATTCCAAATTCCTGACATGAAATCTTTAGCCATACAATTTTTTTCTTTTATCTTTTTGGAATGTTAATACTAACCTAATGGTCACATTGTACTCTAAGCCCACAGACAAATATAGTCTTTTTTTAGTTCCCTCTCTACTCCCCAAAATAAAGTAACCTTAATAAAAAGAGCAAAAGAGCTTGGTCATGTCTATAGAGTCTGGTAAGTAAAAAAAAAAAGGATTTTAAAATAAAAGCAAGTGATGTTTTATCGAGGGACAGGGACAGTCTGGACTGGGGAAATGTCCATTGTCATAGAGTGAAAACAGCTGATCATCAGACGACCACAAAACAGGACATATTCCTATATATTTGTATGAGGAATTAAAGGTCCCAAAATTCCTAATTGGCTGACTGAGCATCAGGGGAGTTAAGGACAGTATATCTAGAACTAAGAATTTGACAGCAATAGTTTCATAATCCACCTCAGTTCTGACAAAATAAAAGTCTAACCATTACTTCCCAAAATCCCTCTCCCACTTCTATCTGGTCTATCATCATAATACCTAGGGTAGAGATGACAATTCCAAGAGTCACAAGAGACTTGTTGATATTGGCTCCTTCAGTAATTCGATCTTTACAGTAACTGGGGTCTGCTCTTTCACTATAAAACAGTCAATGAAAACAAAACCAAAAGAAAGCAAGAAGCTGTTATCCTCATAATGCCCTTGAAAATACTATCCATTATCTTACACATCATGTTTTAAAAGGTATAAATAATAAATTCCTTTTAGAATTCAGTTCTTAGAAAAATGTTACCATTTTATAATGGACTGAAATGCTTTTGTTTCTCAAGCAATACAAATCAAATAATTAAGTTTCAGTTTTTATTTTGGCATTAAGAACACTTTAAATTAAATGCTTATTTATAATAATGATATTAACACAGGTAGTGGTGTATTTACTATCCACATTTACCACATTAAATTAAAATTTAAGCGGTCTTACAGTGTTATTCAAACTCACTTTTAAGTAAGAAATATTAAAAAGTCAGACTGGCTCTAAGTCTTTATAGCTAGCACTGGTTCTTAAGAGTTATTGTACTATAATTAGCAGTTTTTAAAAAAATGAAGCTACCTTACTTAATCTATGACTCCTTTTGCATAAAAGGAGGTTACATTTGCATAAAAAGTGGTTACATTTATGCTCCCTTCTAATTCTTGAAAAGCATTATCTTCCCACAATATTTAAAAAGCTGTTCTTTTTGCTGTTTAACAAATCAGTATAATCTCAGAGGAAGAAGGTGTGCTTCCATTTAGAACAGTGGTTCTCAATCTACGCTGTATGCAGGAATCACCTAGAATGCTTTAAAAAGTACTGAGATTGACACTCCTTCCCCATCCAATCACTTGGTTTTAATTGGCCAAGGTGTGGCATAGGTACTGGGAGTTTTGAAATATCACCAGGTGATTTTAATGGACAGCTAAATTTGAAAACTTCTAATTTAGAGAAATTTTTCAGTCCCTGGAAAACTGTAACTTCTTAATCCAGCATTCAGAGATTTCATTTCTTCGATAATTTTTTTTTAGAATGATTGACGTTTCAGAAAGGCTGGTATAAATTTATTCCTATACAATGAGTAAGATTAAGGTAACAGTCAAGGGAGTAATTCTCCTTGGCTTTGAATTCCTAATTACCTGCCTGCTAGGTCCACAAGGTTGATCTTGCTAGCAATTTCACAGGGAAGGCTATTCTCTAAAATTGCCTGAGAGAGAAAACACATTTAAAGTTAATCATCCAGAATTTTGTATTTTTCTTTCCCCATAGACATTATCCCAACCATGGTTATATTTTGGATCTTTAATCACTTCACTCGAGAAACCTAAATAGAAAGCCAAAAGCTATTAAACTGGTCAAGGAGATGGAGCAAATATCTTAAGCTATTAAGACTTTTCTTGACCTGACAGATTGGTATATAGGCTGGGGAATGCATTAAAAGCTCAGGTCATTTTAAAATCTGTTCTTGCATTCTTAACTCACGGAGCACCTGTGTTTCTCTGCATGCAAAGGGCAATGTGGCTAGGGCCCACATGGTCTTCACTTTACATGTGCACAGCCCCTAACCCAGAATATGAGGGGATCTCCTTAAGGAATTAGTACGATTGTCTTTGTGGTGATGGTACTACCCTTGTGGCTGTATTATCTCTCAGATTTATGGTCTGCTGCTCAGTCTCTTTAAAACTCACAACCTCAAGCAAATGGAGCCACTTGTTCACTTAACACCAAGGTCACTGCTTTAACTGACAAAACTCTGAATCCAAGTGAGCCCGTCTAGCAGTGACAGATTTTCACAGCTTACTCTGCCCAACTAAAATACACCACCAACAAAGCTAGCAGTGCAGGTAGGGATTAAAGCACATCAAGGAAATTTTATATATTTAGACAACTCTTAACTACAATTATGTGGTTTTTCATAAACATCTCTATGTTTGTTGCATGCCCTTGTTCTATTTTCAGAGCATAGATAAAATTTTTTAGACAGTTTTGTACAGCTGAATGTGTGCTTTTGGATATAACATCTGCTGACCTCTTCACATCATCCTAATAGAAATGAAACTCCTACTTTTTCATTTTAATGTTTATTTTCAACCTTGCTTTTGATTTTAAATTTCCATAATGATCACATAAACAATGTAAAAGTGCTTCTTCAAATGTTGAAAGTAAAATATAGATATATGTTGATCAATCTTTATGAAACGTACCTACTCTAAACTGTATACAGCTTGACTGCATGTAATTCCTTTCTACAATATTAAATCAATCAGAGGATCTGTTAATGGAAGGACAGAAGGAAAAGGAAAGAAATAGGAAAAAAACAAAAGTAATTAGAGGGGGGAAATCTCATCAAATATAAACGATAACCAACCTGTGTGTAGTAGATGGTGAAGATGGCATGAGATCTGCTGCTGGCCTCGTGAACATGGGTGGCTGCTGTGATTCTGTGTAGATAAGAGAAGGTAGTTAGAATAAGGACAGTTTATGTGCGGTGAACCCTTAAGGATCCACAGAAAATACAAGAAATATTAGTGTGGAGGTTTACAGAGAAGAACAATAAAGGATCCATTTTTAGTGTAGCACAGTTAGGTCCAAAGAGGGCAGAAAGAACACTCTATATACTGATAATATGATGACAAAAGGGACCGGGCTTCATACTAAACCATATTAGACCTTTTTTATAAGCAACAAGAGCAAAAGTCAAACTGAAAAGAAAAATAATAAAGTGTCAACCACCTGGAAAAGCATTCCCAAGACAATTAGGTAGACAGCTTGCTGGAGAAGCCCTCAAAGACAGAGAGAGTAGATTGTGATTTAACATAAGAATTTTATAATGCAGCAAAAGTCTTTGCAAGAATAGGCTAAATTATGTCAACCCCATGCTTAAACCTGATGGAACCGATGATGCCACACAGAGAACCCATTCCAGTGTTAACTCTTTTAACTCAGGAGCCTTTTCTGTTTATCTAAGTCAATCTTGCATTACTGTAAAACCTCTTACTGGCTTCTATTCTCAGAAGAACTAAGAAATTGAAGAAAAGAATAAAAATTTAGAGGCTAGCATCAGAGGTCAAAGAAGAAAAGGTAAAACTTGACACTTCAAAAGATCAGGGAGCTCAAGATGTCCTAAAAACTATAAACACCTGCAGGATATCCTATGAGTCCCAGGATTTGAACATTAAGTTAATTATTTTCCTTTTATGCCCAATTAACTCAAAACTGCTATCAACAGGGCAATTGTGAAATACTCTTCTTCAGGAAAAACCGAACTTTTCCCAGGAATTTACTGATAATATGCAGAGTATTTCATAGTAACTGACAAGATGTAGTATTATCATAACTTATAATAATATTCAGGAGAGTCTACCAAAGTTATTTAAAGGGTATATAAAAGACAGCCCCCTCTCAGGGAGCCTGAACGTATGTTAACTCTGGCACCCTAGAGGTAAGGAGTTGCGCTGCCAACCCCAAAGCAGGCAGTTTAAATGTATCAGTTGCTCCCTGGGAGAAAGATGGGCAATTTACTCTCATGCAACTGAAAGTGCCTTGAAAACCCACTGGAAGGTCAGCAATGAGTTGGTTCCAACTTAAGGGTGCACAACAACAAACTAGAAGAAAATGTTTTTTTAACAAGTCTATCTTTTTAATTTCTTTCTTTTTTATTTTTATTTGTGTACTGTCAAATCGGATCTGACTGGCACAGGAGGCGATTGTTTCTCCTTCTTCAGCAGAACGTCTGGTGGATTTGAACCCCACACCTTTGGGATTGCAGTGCAGCTTCTTGCCATTAGGCCACCAGAGCTCGCCAAAACTAAAAAAATATTTTTATAAAAACATTTTACACTCTATTGGGACTTAAATATCAAATCTGAAGAGAGGACAGAGCAAAGTCTTTTTCTTTTCTCAAAACGGCAGAAGTTGTGTGTTACAGGACTAGGGACAGATCAACTCCATGGGCTACTATCAATTCAGCCAAAACAATCTTCACTATCAGTACTATTGAGACAAACACTAAATCTTAGTCATTATATACCCTAAATTCATTGCTATTCTCAAAAAGGTTCCTGACTGTGGATATAGAAAGCTGCAGACAGAGACAATTGTAATTATCATTATACATGTATACATCATTATACATTCCCCAAGGGGAATGGGAACAGAGGACAGATGGATGAGGTAAAAGAAAGAGAGGAACAAACAAACCTGTTACCTGTTAGCTATTCCCTCCTCCAAGAGTTGAATTACTTGCTTATAGTTGGTAACTACATGTTGAGATAAACCTATCAGATTTGCAAGAGGGATAAAAGAAATGAAATAAATTTTTTTGAAAGTTTAACTCTTTCCTGTCCTTATTTTTCCTCCCCATTCTATTTCAAATCACTCACTGGAGAATAAGAGAACATAGCTAAATTAATTTACATAATAAACCAACACATACTCATTCAAAGTCTACTCTTAAGATACTGTGACAGACTCAGGGAACATATGTCTCTCCCCTCACAGACTTTATGGCCTAGAATTCACAGAGTATCAAGGCTACCAACAACAAAAACAATAATAATTCCTAAAAATATTGCTATAGAAATGACAAAAATTATCTCCTCTGTTCATAAAATTCTTGAGATTGGTAATTATTATGTTTCCCAGAAAGATGGCATACTCAGTTTGGCATACAAAATATACAATAAAAAATACAATATTTATTCGTACTTAAACGTAACATAAATCCAACCCTACACCCCTATCGTTTACAATCACAAGTTAGACTATAATGAGACAATCTTTCCAAGTATTAAAAGAATAGAACTGACAATACATGCTAAGGAGATCAAATGAGGTTAGGGTAGGTTCTTCAGAGAGGAGTCTTAAATTTGGCTATTGTAAAAATAATATTGGAGAATGTCTTGGAGGAACAAGCAATGTCTTGAAGGAAGTATAACCACAGTGCCCCTTAGAGGCAAGGATGATGAAATTTCCTCTCACAAAGTTTGGGTATGTTGTCAGGAGGGGCCAGATCTTGGAAAAAGGCATCATGTTGGGGAAAACAGGGATCAGTGAGAAGATGATCCTCAATAAGATGGTTTGACACAGTGACTAACAATGAGCCTGAGTTTAGCAGAGATTGTGGGTACGGCACAGGATAGGGTAATCTTGGATTCTGAAGCTCTGTCTCACATACACTGGGTACATGGCCAGAAGGGACTAATCTTTGGAGAAGGACAGCGTGCTTAGAGGAGTAGAGAGACAGTGCAGGAGAGGGTGACCTCGGATGAAATGGATTGACACAGTAATTGGAGTAATGGGGGTAGGTGGATCAGAGATGGTGCGACTGGCTCAGGCAGGAGAGGGTTCAGAGGTATTGTACATAGAGTTGCTATGAGTTGCAGGTGACTTGATGGCACATAACAACATCAACAACAGAGCAAGTTTATGATCTATGATTCATAGGTTATTATAAGTCATAGCCAACTTAACAGAACTTAACTACAAGAAGTGTAAGTTTCAGAGTCTCTTCTGATAGTCATTTTGTTCTTTGCTTTCTCCTCTGGCTTTATAATGACTTTTTACTTTCTTCATAGATGATATCCTTGATGGCATCTCACAACTCATTTGGTTTTTGGTCCTTTATGTTCAGTGCCTCAAATCTGATCCTGAGATGGTTCTTAACTTCAGGTGGTACAGACTCAAGGTCATATTTTGGTTCTTCTGCACATGTTTCAATTTTCTTCAGCTTCAACTTAAATTTGCACATGAATAACTGATGATCTGTTTCACAGTCAGCCTCTGGTCTGGTTTTGATGTCTGATACTGATTTTTTCCATCTTCCCTTTCCACAGATGTCGTCAATCTGATTCCTTTTTTTTTAATTTTTTTTCTATATTTTATTAATTTTCATAAACATTTACAGAGATTTTGGGTTTCCATTCATTCCTTGTTGCACTCTTCTCTCTACCCTCCTCCCAGTTTGTTCTTGTCCAAATGCCACAGTGCTTGTCAAAGCCAGTTCTGATTAATCTTCTTTGTCAGTGTGTCCTTTGCCATTCCCTATCACTCCTCCCTGAGAGAGACTTCACTCTGAGTCATAAGGAAAAGGGGATGGCGTATTCTCTTAGCTACTTCCTGCTGAAAAGGGACGCTGTGGGTTTCAGGGTGAAGATCTTCTCTCACTACTCTAAAGGGCCCCTTTGGCAGTAGGAAACACATAGACTATTATGGAGATTGATTTTGGGATTTAGATGCACTCTTATTGATTGTGCTTGGCCGTACATGTTCATATCCTTGAAGATGTATCATGGAGGTGTTGCAACCTAGAAGGCACAAATTTGACTAACAAGTTATAAGTACATGAGTCCAAAAATTATGGAAAAGTAAAAGAAAAGATTCTTTCATTGTTTTACTAACCCTCCCCCAGGTCCCCTCCACCATGTAGCCCTCGCTCTAGTCTCCTGTGATGACAGAAATACCTAGTTATATATCTCTTTTAAACAGTTTTCTCCCTCCTCTGTTTCAGTGCAGTATACATTATTGAACCCATCTTACTCAGTCTCTCCCCAACAGTGGCATCATGTAATATTTGTCCTTTTGTGACTGGGATATTTCACTCAGCATGATGTTCTCCAGAGTCAACCATTTTGAATAATATTGCATGAGTTCCTTGTTTTTTAATGCAGCATAGTATTCCATTGTGCGAATATACCACAGCTTCTCTAGCCATTCGTTTGTTGATGGGCACTTAGGTTGTTTCCAACTCCTTGCTATTGTGAACAAAGCTGCAATAAACATGGGTGTGCATATATCTGCTTGGATGTCAGCTATGGTCTCTTCAGGGTATATTCCCAGTAGTGGAATTGCTGGGTCAAATGGTATCTCTATTTGCAACTTTTTGAGAAAGCGCCATACTGCTTTCCACAGGGGTTGCACCATTTTACACTCCCACCAACAGTGAATCAGGGTTCCAGCTTCTCCACAACCTCGCCAGCATTTGTTGCTTGCTGTTCTGTTAAATTTTGCTATTTTGACTGGGGTGAAATGATATCTCATAGTTGTTTTGTCAATCTGATTCCTGTGTAGTGAGTGTATCAGATAGGTCCATGTGCATAATCATGGTTTATTTATTAATTTTTTAAAAGGCATTTGCAATAAGTAATTCATTAACAAAATTCTATCATTTAATATTCAGCTTCATTTCTGTTACCAAGGTCATGTTTTCCAACTACTAGTCCTTTTTCTTGGTTTACAACTTTTGTATTCCAGTCACCAATTAATGCATCTTGATTGTGTGGATCAGAACACAATTATGAACAACACTAAGAATGAGCATTCTAGAACATTTATTTGTACTGATGCCAAACTTTCCATTGTTCAAACAGAACTAGGGAATAATGTATAGTTTAAAATTAGGAAAGATGACCATCAGGGTTGTATGTATCCTTTCTCCATATATATTAAATTTGTACACTGAACAAATCATTAAAGAAGCCAGGCTATATGAAGAAGAATGGGGCATGAGGATTGGAAGGAGTCACATCAACAACTTGGGTCATGTGGATGACAAAACCTTGCTTGCTTGAAAGGGAAGATTTTAAGCACTTGCTGCAGAAGATCAAAGACTACAGCCTTCAAAACACACTACACCTCAACATCAAGAAAACAAAAATCTTCACCACTGGACCAATAGGCAACATCATGGGGGATGGAATTAAAGGCTGAAATTGTCAACAATTTCATCTTACTTGGATCCACAATCAACATTCATGGTAAAAACAGTCAAGAAATTAAACAATACATTGAACTGGGAAAATATGTGAAGAACCTCTCCAAAGTACTAATGGGCAAGGATGTTAGTTTAAAGAATAAGGTGCAGTTGATCCAAGCCAAATGCATCCAGTGTGTCTTGAAGTTGGACAATAACAAGAAAAACTGATGCTTCTGAATTTTGGTGTTAGAGAAGAGTAATGATTATCTCATGGACTCCCAAAAGAATAAAGAAGTCTTGGAGGAAATACAACAACGGGCTCCTTATAAGCAAGATGGTGAAATTTTATTTCAAAGCATGTTGTCAAAAGGGGCCAGTCCTTGGAGAAAAGCATCATGCTAGGAAAAGTGAAGGTGAGAAAAAGAGAGGAAGACCCTCAACAAAACGGGTTAACACAGTGACTATAGCAATGGGCTTGAGTATGCCAAAGATCACAAGAATAATGCAGGATAAACTTCAGATCTGCTCTTCATTGGTTCACTAGAAGTAGTGATCAACTGATGACATCTAACAACAATAATAGAATAGACAAATGTTAGATGAGTAAAGAGGAGCTTAAGGACATGGAAGTAAATCTTTATGGCTAGTTACTGATAAAGTTACAAAGGACTTGCAGATTTGTGCATAAGAATAAGAAGTAGAGACCTAGGGGCAAGTAAAAGATCTTATAGGCTTACTGTGATTATAATTACATTAAAATGAATAGTAACTTTTACATATACTGGACTTTCTATATAAAGAATTTTTTATATTTTGGTGTGATAATGTGGCTTTATTAAAAATCATTCCTTATCTTTTATGAGTACACAATAAAACATTTATAGATGAACAGGTCAAGAAGTTTTCCACATTGGGGTGGGGTAGGGTACTATAGCACAAGCAAGGGGAAAGAGTATCCCAGACCCTGGGGAAGTCAAAAGCTAAGCATGGTGGGTTGGATACCCATGTAGAGGGAAAGCCTAGGACAAGACCAGGCTAAGGAAGGTGACCACATTTACCAAAGCCCAGCACAGAAAGTCAGAGTCTGAGTGGGATGAGAATAGTATCTACACAGGGGTAGCCCAGTGCAGGATCTTAGGATCCAGGTAAGATGAGAAAGCTGTTCACACAACAGAGGGCTGCAGACTGCATTGCAAAATCAATGTCCAATTAAGATGAGAAGAGCATCCAGAGAGAGAGAGGCCTAGACAGGGTGTTTGAGCCCACACGGGGTAAGGTTCCATGCCGAGGCAGGGATAAAGACCAGTGCAGGTATGCAAAGGTCAAGAAGATCAAGGAAGGTACCTACATGGTTGGTAGAGATGGGGGCCAGGAAGCCTAAATCAAAATGTTGAGGCTGAGGCATGGTGAGAAACACTTCCAGTGATAAAATGATGCAGCATGGGGAGTCACAGAGCATAACCACTAGGAGAGTGGACACCACAGAGAGGATAGCAATGGCAAAGGAGACTGTTACAGAGAGGGAGATCAAATAAATGTTTCCTACACTCAGAATAGAAGTATGGACAGGCAAAAATCCAGAATGAAGCCATTTATATGAAATTGGAACAGGAAGTACTGATGTGAATGTTAACCAGCAACTGAGGGGGATTAGGAGTTACAATATCCTAAAAGCAATGTGTTTATTCAGAACCTAGATTTTGCCCTTTTTTTACCCCTTTAGAGTCCTAACTGATTTTATTTCATGTACAAAGAACTGGCCTTATTCCTTTAATGTACAGATGGACAATCCAGTCAAGGAAGAACACTTAGTCCAGTCTGATGAAGTTTACATTCTTTCTGTACTTAAGAGAAACACTAGTGGGACATTTCCTGAGCAGATCATGCCATTTGAGCACATGGGGCAAGAGTAGGAACCCAGATCAAACTTTTTATTCCCCCAAGATTTTCCATGTTTTTTTAAAGTATTTTCTTCACTGTTGCACATTTTCTCCCCTTCCCCCTGCCCACTCTGCAATGCACCCCTTGTTCCAGTTTGTTGTCATATATATGCTTATTATATATTCCTTTTGTTCAGTTTTTCCCCTCATCCGCTAATAGTATTCATTATCTATCTGCTCTTTTCCCATTCTCTTTCCAACCCTCCCACCCTGCCATGTCTGACCTATTTTCTAACAGCAGTGTTATGTGCTGTCTGTCCTTTTTTGACTGAGCTCTTTCACTGAGAATAATGTCCTCCAGGCTTACTCATGTTGTGTAATGTTTTACGAGTTCGTTATTTATCAGTGCTGAGTAATATTCCATTGTGTGAATGTACCAGTTTTTCTATCCATTCACTTGTTAATAGGCACTTGGGTTGCTTCCATTTCTTTGCTATTGTGAATAATGAATACAACAATAAACATGGGTGTGCATACATCGGTTTGAGTTGTAGCTTTGGTTTCTTTAAGGTATAATTGCCAGTAGTGGAATTGCAGGGTCAAATGGTTATTTCTATTACCAACTTTTTGAGAAAGAGCTAGACCTCTTTCCATAGTGGTTGTACCATTTTACATTCCCACCAGGGTTCCAATCTCTTCATAAACTCACTAGCATTTGTTGTTTGCTACCCTTTTGAACTTTGCATTTATTGCTGGGGTGAGATGGTATTTCATAGTTGTTTTCAGATAAAACTTTTGAGGATGGCTCAAAGTGAGCTGCTACTAACCCTTCTTGCTTTAAGAGAAGCACCAAGAAAAAAAAAAAGACCAGATTTTGGTTTCTAAATGCCATTCCTTCTCTAAGAAAAGTAGCCAGAGGACCTGACATAAATGGCCAATTTCAAAGCTGAGGCAGCTAAAGCACAAGATGAGCCTGAACTAGCTAGTGCCAAAAAGCACGAAAATACTCTAACGATGACTGTTATTATTAGGAGTCCTCAAGTCAAGTACAACTCCTAGAGACCCGTGAACACAGATCTGAATCCTAACCTATCCCGTACCGTCTGCACCATCTCTGATACACTTGGGCCAATTGCTGCAGTCACCAAGTCAATCTATCTCAACTGGGGCCTTCCTCTACCCTTCCAAGCATGAAATCCTAAGATGTTAAAATGTCACAGAAGTTCACATGAAGCTGATCCTATTGGATAAATCTGAAATCACCTGAGCATCAACATAAAAATGAATAGTAACAGACTCATTGAATAAAATAGGAAAGCATGAAACCACATAGATAAAATGAATACATTGAAAGTTTGATGAGGAACAATTATTGCCATTAAGTAGCCTCTGACTCATGGTGACTCCCACAGTTTTCAGTAACTGATTTTTCTCAAATACATTACCAGGTCTCTCTTCCAAGGTACCTCTGAGTTGGCTCAACCCTCTAACCTTTTGGCTAGCTGCCTGCTGTTAACTCTTTATACAACCAAATGACTTCAGAAGTGCTGCCCCACAAAATATTCGTAGTTACAAAGCAAAAAAAAAAAATGGTAACTTCAGAACTAAGAAGGCGGGTAGATATCACCTTAGCCTAGTAAAAAAGTGATCATGTGTAATAGGTCAAATAAGTTATATACCATTTTTGTTGTCACCTTCATTAAAAAAGTGATCATGTGTAATAGGTCAAATAAGTTATATACCATTTTTGTTGTCACCTTCATGAGAGTGAAGGAAATGTAACTCTTTAGGAGACAGCATAGACACAACTTGGCAACTGTGGGACAATCACTGAACTTGAATGGATCTCAGGTTTAGATGGTAGTAATGCACCAAAGTTAGTTTTTAGGTTTGTTTGTTTCAATTGTGAATATATTGCAGGATGTTCTTGTTTGTAGGAAAAACACATAAAATATTCACACAAGATTTTCATCGGTGTGGCAATCTAGTTTCAAGCAGTTTGAGAAAAAAAAAAATTCCAATTCTTTGCAATGTTACCTATAATTTGTTATAATCCATACAGCTCAATGGCTTTACAATCCTTTGCTACACCTATTTATTTTTTTATTAGCTCTATCACAACTTGTTACTAAGAATTTGTTTGTTTTCTGATTCACCCTATTAGATTGTAACCTTGTTTATGAGGGCCGGACAATGCCTTTTTGAAGTACTGGTTATCTATCCAGTGTCTAAGGAATTCTGATGTCACAATGGTTAAGAACTTAGCTGCTAATATAAAAAGGTTTGTGGTTCACACCTACAAGCTGTTCCATAGGAGAAAAGGCCTATAAACCTACTCCTGTAAAGATTTCAGCCTATTAAACTCCAAGAGGCCATTTTACTCTATAGTGGAGTTATAAGTCAGAATTCACTTGGAAGCATCTAACAACAGCATTTACTATTGCAAGACCTAACACATACTAAGTAATCAATATATATTTGTTGAATAAATTGGTGACTTTTAGGAGAGCTTCCAATATCCTTGGGTGATGTAAATGATTAAACATCCAATTACTACCATAAGGTTAGTGGCTGGTCCACCATGAGAGTCCTCAGAAGAAAAATCTAGTGCTCAATTGCTGAAAAATTAGCCATTTAAGACCTCATGGAGCTAGTCGTAGTTTGACACACATGACAACTGATTGGCTGGAGAGGTTTCCTAGACAGTTTGGCTTCAGACCCAAAAGGACCCAGTGGCTCACCTTGTACATAGGGCCCCATCTCTGGGTGTTCTCTGACCCTTAGGTTATATGACTTTTTCTGATCAGATGGCTTCAACAGATCCCGAACACGTTCATTATAGATTTCTAGGAAACTAAAAGATACGTAAAAAAAAAGACAACAAAATTAGATTGTGACAAGTGGTTAAAATTTCTCAGATTATGGTCCTAAGAGATGCCCTTCAAACCTGGAATTGAACCCACATTCAGGATCACCTTTCAGCCAAACACCAGAGCTATAAAATGAATAGTAATACCCATCAGGGACTATTATTATTATTCTCAGAATAATCAACCATATAGGACCAAAATACGAGCATCTGCCCAAAGAAGACATGAAGGGCCAGGGGGGAAAAAAGAGTCAACAAGATTGCAACTATGTCATGAAACAACAAAAATATATAAACTGTTCAACAGGGAGAAATGATTAAGATATATGGGGAAGAAAACCAATAAACTAAGAATCAGGAGGTTGTTGGTTTAGTTCCATTACATTATTGAAGATGTTGCTCAAGTTAAGATCCATTTTGAGTCTTTCTACAGGTCTACAACAGTGAGGTTTCTCTAAAGTTTTTATTTGAGAGAAAGTTTTAAAATTATATTGGTTTTCATTCAATCTACAATAGTGTAGATTTAAGCAGTCAGCAGTAAAAATATAACTTACACACTAGACAAACAGATACAGATGGGTGAAAAGGATTGTACTTATGACAATACACAGGCTTGGCAGATGATCTTTTATATTTATATTAGTATCTGTTATATATACAACCATGTATATAGCAGAGTCAACAAGGGGCAATGCTATGTAAGCTGCTTCATCATCAAACACCCTGAAGTTTCTGGTTCAAGGGCCTTGGGGACCAAAATCTCGCGGGGCATCAAAGTCAAATGGCATAACAAGAGCCCACAAATACAATGTTCTACATCCTACTTTGGTTAGTAGCAAGTGGGGTTTTAAAAACTTGTGAACTGCCATCTAAGATGCAGTTGCTGGTTTCTCCTGTTTGGAACAAGAAGAGGGAGGCAAATCAAAAGAGCATAGAAATACTTAGCACAAAAGATTAATGGATCACATGACCCTCAACTTCCATGACTTGAGATCTTAAGAACTGGATGGTGACAGTCAACTACTGCTGACCACTCTAGAGGACATCACACTAGAGTGGGGGGAAAGGGATTAAAAAACATAAAAAAGAAAAGGCTTAGATCTGACCACCAACAAAGAAGAAGCAAGAGAACTCAGTGTGTCCTTTAGGGCCATAGATCCTTGCACCCATCAGACCAGCACCCAGGTGAACAGCAGCCAAAGCAGCTCCAAAGAATCAGAAACCTAAAATGAGATGGAGTAGACCTTTGGAGCTGCCACAGCACTGAACTACAGCTAAGAGCCTTTTGTCCAAGTTTGTTGGAGGCCTGAGAGGGCAGTGATGGAAGAGCCATAATTGGCAGGGCTGAGAGCTTTATAACACTGGCCTACAGACAAATATTTCAGAAGCTGTCCAGACTGTGTGATTTTATCTTGCACCAACCTGAATTATAGCACTTTTGATTTTTTTTTTTAAAAGACCAGGCTTACTGGTCCAATAGACCCTAAAGGAACCCCTGAGACCCTGATCCTTGGTTACCCTTTCAAACTGGGCCAAATTAACACAAAATTCAACTCCATGACTCAACTGTCACCCAAACAACAGACAGGCCTATAAGGTGAACAATAACACCAGGAAGCACTCATTAATTAATGGGCATCATTTGCCCAAAGTTAAAGGCCAGAAGGGCGGAAAGGTGTAGGACAGAAGGATGAATCGAAATGAGAAGTACAGGAAAGAAGTGATATTTGTGATTACATTGTAGATATTATATTTAATGTTAAAAAACAAAATGTGTATGAATGGTTGAATAAAAAACCAATTGGCTTTATAACTTTTCATTCCGATAACAATAAAATTAAATTTTAAAAATCAAGACAAACAAAACAGCCAGAGTAAACTGGTCCACAGAAAGAGGCAGCTATCTACTAAGCTGAAAGATAAAGAATCACGTTTCCTACAACCCAAAGACCTAAGTATGTTTCTAATCTCCCTGGACTGGAAGATGTTTCTGCTGTGGCTTTTCTGCATTCCTCTGAGCAACTCTGGAAAAGCAAACAAAGACAGTTGAGCATGCTAGAATTTGCAGTGGAAACAAATATTACAAGCCCCAGAGCTTGCTGGGTTCTTACCTTACTTTTATCTTACAGGAGGAAGGCAATGAGCATGATGAATAGTCTTCATCCCTGATGAAGAGACTCTGCACAAATCAAAGGGTTTCACTGAAAGGAATACACAAAGGAGACCTACTTCAAGATGATCCAGTAAAAAAAAAAGAGTTTATACCTCACATATCCGAGGTGTCAGCCCTACGGAGGCCTGGAGAAGAGAAGAAAGGAAAGTTGGCTATTCATTCACTATAATGCTCTCCTGTATCCTAGACCCAGGAACCACCCTCAGCATGAAGCATGGACATGGGCTCTTCACTTTAGGGAGATTCACTTGAGACACGTAGAAAACTTATCATTTAAATGCTAAGAAATCCATTCTTAATAGAGAAAAACCTCCCTTAAATGTTGTTAAAGTTGGGAGGTTCACATTCTGTCTCTCAATGGCAAGGACAGAAGCCTTGTCAAAAAATACAAGACTAGGGCTTGCTGTAGCTTTAGGAAGATATTGCATTACAATACTAAATCACTCACTGGGGTCCCAAGCATGGTATATGTCTTCCCTGAGCCTGTCTGTCCATAGGCAAAAAGGCATATGTTGTAGCCTTTGGAAGCTCCAGACAGCACTTCAGTCCCCAAATCCTGGAAAACCTGTAAAAGCAAAAGAAGAAACCATGTCTGACCCTTAACCCAGGAGACTGAGAATCATATTTAAAAAGAATGTTTTTATATTTGCTTACAAAGTTCATACACATTATATTTCACTCTATCCTTTATTCACATTATGTTTTATACAATTGAGAATCATATTTTAATCTTTAAAAAAATCTTAAATATACATGAGTGCAAGTGTTCTACCATTTCACCAGGATCAATTTTAGGACAAGACACAGCAAATTCATTTATTCAGTCATTTTTTCAGACACAGACAGTCCCCAGGTTATGAACAAAATTAATTCCTGTCTTTAAGTCAAAGTTTGTACGTAAATTAGAACAAGAAAATATCTTTTATTTAGCCTTAATTTAGTGTAAGAAAAGTCCAGAAGCCTTTTCAATTATTGAAAAGCTCCACATGCAGCAAGTAAAGGAGAATGAGATTAAGAATATGCTGCTTGTAGGAGTTGGTTTAATAATTTAAAACTTATGTAACATTAAAAGGCAAGTACAAATTTTCTGTAATTTGGACATTCATAAGCTGAGACACTCTAAATTTTTTAAAGTGCTAAGATCCACAGGTGGTACATAGTTTCAGCTTGATGGCTAACCTAAAGATTGATAGATATAACCCTGGCTGTCATGCACCCAGCAGCACTGTGGAAAAAAAGGCTTAGAAAACTGCTTCCATTAAGACAGTAGTAAAGAAAACTCTGTAAACTTGTAAAAGCAAAAGAAGAAACCATGTCTGGCCCTTACCACAGGAGAATGAGAATCATATTTTTAAAAAATTTTTATTTTATATTGGTTTGCTTACAAAGTTCATATATATTGTGTTTCACTCTATCCTTAATTAACATAATGTTTCATACAATTGAGAACCATATTTTAATCTTTAAAAAATCTTAACTATACATGAGTAGTGCAATGGTGTCTCTCTGGAGACTAAGGTGCGTCTGATACAGGCCATGGTCTTCACAATCACTTGTTATGCATCAGAGAGTTGGACAATGACCAAGGAGGATAGAAGGAGAATTGATGCCTTTGAGCTGTGGTGCTGGAGAAGAGTATTGAGAATACCATGGACTGCTAGGAAATCAAACAGATTTGTCCTGGAAAGGGTTAAACCGGGTGGCTCCTTGGAGGCAAGGATTCTGAGGCTCTAACATACTTTGGACATGTTGTGAGGAGAGACCGGTCCTTGGAGAAGGACATCATGTTTGGGAGGGTAGAGGGACAGCGCAAGAGGGGAAGGCCCTCTATGAGGTGGATTGATTCAGTGACTGGGATAATCGGGATGGGAGTGTCAGAGACGACTGGCACAGCACAGAACAGAGTTTAGGGCTGTTGTACATAGGGTCGCTGTGAGTCGCAAGCGACTCGATGGCACATAACAACAACAACAACAACAGTATTCCATAATATATACAGTAGTATTCTGTAATATATACAAGCTACCATGTTTTTGTTGAGAACCCTCAAGTTGGATCTGACTCAGAGCTGACCCTCCTTCAAGTAGGTTTTTAGAGGCAATAAAGCACATGGGAAGAGATCTCTCATCTTTTTCCCATGGAACAGCTGGTAGATTCAGACTGCTTACCTTTGTGTTGGCAGAACAATTCTTTATCACTAAGCCAACTAGAGCTCACTGGGAGTTACCATGAGTTAAAGATCAATTCAACATCAACTAACATTATACGCTGGGTACAACACTAGACAATGAATAAACAAAAATTATATAGTTCCGGCGAGCTCTGGTGGCCTAGTGGCAAGAAGCTGCACTGCAATCTCAGAGGACACGGTTCAAATCCACCAGATGCTCTGCTGGAGAAGGAGGAACAATCTCCTCCTGTATCAGTCAGATCTGATTTGAGGGTACACACAAAAAATAATGAAATAAAAAAAATTATATCGTTCCTGCCACAAGGCAAAGGAGCCTAGCAGGAGGGCAAAAACATATAATTAGTAAAATAAAGTGTGGAGAGAACTGGGTTGACACAAAGGAAGAGGTGGCTGATAACATGAAAGTGAAGAAGAAGCTGAAGAATAAGTAAGTATTCACTAGGCAGATGTGTTTTTTCAGTTCTTACTGAAGAAAAACACAACTCCAAAAGCACAACTACATCCCTGGTGGTTCGAATCCACTCGTGGCTCCAAGAGAATAAGACAGGTGTCATCTCCTACTGCACGATACAGCCTCAGAAACCCATCGAAGGGTTGTTAGGAGTCAGAGTAGACTCAGGGGCAGTGAGTGAACAAACAAATGATCAAAATATACATCTAGTATATATTTATGTATGTGTGTGTCTGTATATGCATATGTATATGTATGTATGTATGTGTGTGTGTATATATATACACACACACACATCCACACATCTAGAGTGTGTGTGTATATACACCCCTATATATATTTATGCTTGTATTGTATGTATTGTTTCCTAATATTTGCTCCAATAAGAACATAAAATACTAGCTTATTTTATTTGATTTTAAACTTTTGACCATTTTGATAAAATATGTTAGAGACGATGACCAAGAGAGAGCTACGTTGGCCTAGTGGAAGGAAGCTGTGCAACCAAGCCGAAGGTGGGTGATTGTCATCTGTGGCCCTCGGCCAGGTTCAAATTGTCTTCCTGTCAAACACTCTTCTAGGGGTATAGCACTGGTCTGTGCGTTGCTGTACAGAGGTAACTCGTGGTTGCTCTGATGCTGAAGCCTGTGACAGTGATGTGCCAATCGTGGTAATGGGCACCCATGGTGAACAGTGTTGGCTGGAGCTTCCCGACTAAATCAAGCCTGGAAGCAGGAGCGGCATCCACTTCCAAAATGGCTTGCCTCTGGAAACTATGTACAAACAGTGCTCAGGCTGTTCGTTCATAGGGTCGCTATGAGTCGTCTATGACTCGACGGCATTAAACAACAACAACAACAAAGTCAATATTATAAAAAGCAATGAGCCTTAGGTCATACAATGTGATAAGAATTCCAAAGATACAGTGCTGCTATGCTGGCTTTGTGCTCACTGCTTGAGAAGGCTTTAAGATCTCAATCAGAGAAGGCAATAGACCATAACGTTTTATCACAAAACCTGAGACTGCTCAGTCTGACATGTGGGTTCATCAAATGCTGCACACCCACCCCAAGATGTAGAAGTTGGCCAAATAGTATCCATATTGTGGAAATATGAACATTTACCATGAAACAAATACAGAAATAAAAGAAGAAAAGGAAAGGGGAGAAAGATGAAATGAGGAATGGAAAAGAAAGAAGGCAGACAGGTCAGCCATGCACATAATTCTTTCTCCTTCTCACAACAACTATGTTTAAAAATTATTAACTAAATAAAGCTACCGTGAAATATTGCCCTGTAATGCATCATACAAATTCAGTCTCAAGACACCACACAAAGGGACCAATAAGTTTGCAAATCAGAAAAAAGTTTGCCCTGTAAACTCTTAAATACTGCCTTCTCATATTAACCCTCACAGGTGCCTGGTTCTGCTGGTAATTCACCTCTGTGATGCTCAGTCTGTGATTCAGAAACAGCAGGGGGCATGGGAGGTGGCGGGATGGGGAGGAAAGAAACAGTGAGAGGGCCTCAGGTGAAAACTCCTGAACTTGGTGCACTAACAGTCCTATCAGACTCACTCAGCAGATGTTATTTTTCAGAAAACAATGCAGGCTTATGAAGAAAAGCACAGCTTCTCATTTCAAACAGTCCTCAGCAGAAAGCCGCATGGAAATCTGCATCAGGTTGTACAGACATTTACCTTTGGGACTGTTGCTCAGGATCCAAATAACTCTTCCTGAGAGGAATCACTAACTGTGCCAGTCTCTGAGGAAAGCAGAGTCCAACTGCCCACTACAGAAGCCAGATATTCCTCTCTGCCTCCTGACTTCTAGAAGACTAAAATATAACGGAGACCTGGTGAACTAGATGTTCCTATGTATGACTTAGAATTTCAAAAGAATGGCACAAAGACAAAATAATTCTTCAATTTTCCATGGTGGCATGAACAATTTAATAGTAATGAGTGCTGAGTACAAATGCCAAGTGTGGTAACTTGCAAGTCAGACTATTCTGTAATTTAGCTCTATCAGAGTTTTGTGCTATTTAGGATCCAATCGTTCCTGCCCACCTTCTAACCTTCCTTTAAATTCCAAAACTGGGATGTGATTCATATACTGAATAGTTGTATGATCTTGGGCAATTTATTATAACACCTGTAAACCTCATTTTCTTTAGTTGTAAAATGAAAAGAATAATTATATCTATATCACAGATTTGTTGGGTAAAGTGAAATAGTACATAAAACTCGGAATAAGGACGAACTTAAGAGTTGCCTATTCAAGGTTATACGATCTGTTCTACACTTCAGCAGCTGAAGCCAGGTTTCTTTGTACAGTGAACTAAATATATTGTATTTTGTTTTTCCAATGCTTCTAACATTGAGGCATAGGGTTAAAAAAACCTGGAAAGAAGTGAAAAATTTGGGCTTTGTGCCATTATCACTTCTTTCCCCAATCTCTCTCCAGCTTTGTACTTAATTGTGCTCCACTCTGTAGCTTCTATGATAGCAAAGCTGAAAATTGGGCAGAGTTCTCAGGCTAAATTCTGCATAATTAAAGGAGGCTGGGTACAATTGTTCTGGAAAGTTGTTGTTGTTTTTATGTATCGTCGAGTCACCTGCGACTTACAGTAATCCTATGTATGTACAACAGCCCTAAACCCCGCTCTATCTTGTGCCAATCTTATTGTCTCAGACACACCTATCCCCATTACCTCAATCACTGAATAAATCCATCTCATCGAGTGTCTTCCTCTCCTATGTTGTCCCTCCACTGTCCCAAGCATGACGTCCCTCTCCAAGAACTGATCCTGCCTTGCAATATGTCCAAAGCATGTCAGACAAAGCTTCAGAATCTTTGCCTCCAAGGAGCAGCCTGGCTTCACCCTGTCCAGGATAAACTTGCTTGTTCTCCTGGAAGTTCAT